TCTTAAATTTGTTTATTTAAACTTTGAGTCATCCTTTTGAAATATATATTTTTGTTCATGGTTTACAGCATACATGATATATTGGCACAGTACATATGTAATTTATAAATATATGTATAATGGTAATACATTGCAAACTTTTTTAATGAATGGGTGTGTGATCAAAAAAAGTTCTGAGCATAAATGCTTTTCAATTAATTTAAAGATATAAGGTTCCCATGTTTTAGTAGTTGTGTTATTATTTTAATTACACAATTTAAATGTCTTAAGACACATTCTCATTTTAATGCCCTGATGTTAAGTAATGTTTTAGGTGACTTTTCCAGTTGAAATGAAAAAAATATTAAATAGAATGAAATTAATCAAATTATAGAACAAATCACTGTTGGTGAAGAAAATATTCAATAACCAAGATCTCCGGAATTTAATAATAATAATAATTCAGCTCATTTGTGGGGAAGCCAGGTCTAAATCAAAGAGAGATAGGGGTTATAATATATTCTTTAAGAAGTGCTTCTTTAATACTTTTGAGGATAGATAAGAATAAACCAAGTTAATTGTGTTTTAGCAAATCTTTTAAGGGCCTTCATTTAGCAGATAGCTGAGAATTATTTATTGTTACTCTGTCCATTGTTGAATTAAAATTAATACCAAAGTGGTGCTTCTGAGTGGTCTTTTTCCATTTTCCATTTAAATAGGCTAGACATTTGCTTTGTTTATACCATTAATTTGTTTTCACACAGCCTGCAAAGGTAACCACCTCAGAATTAATTAGTGGAATCAAAATTAATGAGGTTTTACTGTACTGGGCCATTTCCACTGTAGGCCAGTTTTCTTCACATGAGTTGGACTAGCATTTTCTTGAAAGAAGAAAAATTAGATTTATTTTAATCCATATTTAAAAAGCAAAGAACCATCTTTTCTGGTGAGTTAAGTACCTCTAATAACTATGCTTTCTTGGGCTTAGTAATATTGATTTTTTTGTTTTTTTTTTTGTTTTTAGTCTTGATTATTTTGGCTATTTCCAGACTGTTGCTTATTACAGTAAAGCTAGAGTTAACTCTTCAGCTGCTTATTTTTCCTTATAGGAACAATGTGTCATTTTTATTTTGGATCATTTTTGTGTGTGGGTGGAGCGTGTCATTTGTCAATTTTCATAATTTTTGCACTGTATGAAAGAACAGATCTATTCTTTAAAACATATTGATGTAAATGTATGTGTTAGAGAGAATCCCTTATGTGGAAACAAAAAGCTAGAATTTTTGGAATTGTAGTTCTTTGTTTCGCTTCAGAAAATTGTATCCTATAATCTTTTTATTTAAAGCAGATCCAGTGGTATTATTTAATATTTGGTCTGTATGTCCTTTATTTTTACTAATAGAGTGATAACATGAACTAGAGCTTTTAAATCTTTATATGAGATGGATTGCATTTTCTTGAAGTTTTGAAATTGTCCACCTTCATATAAGTGGGGAGGGTGAGAGTTCTGACGGTGAATTTCTCATGAGGGGTTGATGCCGAAGGTCAAGTTTCTTATAGGAAGGGGTGGCCTTTTTGTTTGTTTGCCTAATGTCTGCAATTATAAACTACAGTAAGAGGTATTTGGTGGAGAGAGAGAGAGAGAGAGAGAGAGAGAGAGAGAGAGAGAGAGAAGAGAGAGAATGTGTAGTTAAGTGGTTGTCAGTTTTCTGTGATCTCAGATGTTGCGATCTACCAATAGACCATAATTTGAGGAACACCGAACACAGTAAACAATATTAGTAAAAATTCACCAATTTTTTTTAAGGTAAAATAAACATCACCCAGACTAATGCCTCATTTTTTTCTACTTTTTGAAAAAAATGACAAGAGGTTTGTGAATATTACTGAAATGACAGTGAACTTGGGGGTAACAAGTAGGCTAGTTTAGGAGTATGCCTTTAATTAAGAATTAGCTCATTCTAAAGACGATTTTGGAGAGTTTGTGAGTCGAAGTAGCAGAATCAAAAGTTGTGACAGGTGTTTTGCATACTGTGGCAGATCTGTGCTTGATTAAAAGACATGAATAGATGAAAAGTATGCTGTTTAGGAATTATTATTTAAAAAATTTAAAAATTTTCCAATTATAGTTGACATACATTAATATATTAGTTGCAGGTGTACAGCATAGTGATTAGACATTTATATAACTTTTGCAGTGATCACCCCAGTAAGTCTAGAACCCATCTGACACCATACATAGTTATAATATTACTGACTATAGGAATTAAAAAAAAAATCTGTTAGATGTATTTTCTCTAATGAGAGAAATACATAAATAACCACTTTTTGGCCGATTGATGTTGCAAAATAGGAAATAGAAGTTAACCATTTATGTAGCAAACATCTCTTTTTGTATGTTGAATGATGGATATATTTGATAAATACAAAGTCAGCACTAATGGTAATCTGTAGAAATGTAAAGCTTCCATTGTATTATCTTCAGTTACTGATATATGTCTGGTGAAACTCACAAATATATCATGTAGTGTGAAATAACTGAAAATAAAGCCATATATGTTTATGTTTTTTACCCTGTTTTTTTTTTAAACATATTTTATTGATTTTTTACAGAGAGGAAGAGAGAGAGATAGAGAGTTAGAAACATCAATGAGAGAGAAACATCGATCAGCCGCCTCCTGCACACCTCCTACTGGGGATGTGCCCGCAAGCCAGGTACATGCCCTTGACCGGAATCGAACCCGGGACCTTTCAGTCTGCAGGCCGACGCTCTATCCACTGAGCCAAACCGGTTTCGGCTACCCTGTTTTATTTTAACATTGCCTATATTTAAATGATATTTTTTGTAGTTTGCCACTTTATTTTGATTTACTGCTTAATTATAAAGCTAATTTTTATGAGCCATAAGTCAACTACCCCCCCCATTCCTCAATATGTTTTTTTAAAGAAAGAAATCATGTTTTATGTCTCAATTGAATGCTTATCAAGAAACATGAAATAAGTAAGCTTGACAAATGCTTGTTTGAGAAACTTCTATATGATGTTAATAAAGGTTTTAAACATGATCTTTCTGAACTTAGTTTTAAAATTAGCAAACTCAGGCTGCATTTATTATAGTATTTAAAACATTCATAAACAAAAAGTACAAATAAAGCTAACACAGAATAAAAGAATATAACACCCAAATCTATAAAAAAAGTAGTTAAATCTTAGTACCTACGTTTTATTAATCTTCTGTTTCATTCAAAAATAGATTTTAGGTTCTTTAAAAAAAAACACAACATTATTGACCTAGCCTGTTTGGCTCAGTGGATAGAGCATCAGCCTGCAGACAGTAGGGTCTCGGGTTCGATCCCGTTCAAGGGCATGCACCTTGGTTGCAGGCTCCTACCTGGCTCAGGCCCTGGTTGGGGCACGTGCAAAAGGCAACCAATCAATGTGTTTCTCCCACATCGATATTTCTTTCTGTCCTTTCCTCTCTCTTACACTCTCTTTCAATATCAATGGAAAAATTAATAATAATAATTTAAGGATTAAAATAATAGTGATAAGATAAACATTATTCAGTAGGATTAAAAATAAAGCTAATCATGGTGAAGAAAAAATGAGAGCAGAAAGTAGATGAGACCAGTGAGACTCCACATTCAGGAATGTGTGCCCAAGGTCTTGTACTGTTACGGCCAGAAAATTGAGACCTGAGTTTCTTAGTAGCCAAAACATAAAAGGAACCAGTTAAAGCAGTTCCCCCCAAACTGTGTTCCTCAAAAACTAGGTTACCATAGTCACATAAACTTAGAGATGAGTGATATTGTGTTAAAGGTTGTTAAACGTTCTTGGAAGTTCTGTGGATAAAAGCAATTGTAACTTGCGTTCCCCATGTACATTTGGCCTCCCACACCCTCCCTTTTTAAAGAAATTAGATACATGTCAGCATTTCTCACTCAATGAGATAGACCAATCAGTGAGCTATTGTTCTTTAGCTAAGAACAGGCTATTTTACTTAAGCGAAGGCCAGCAGGGTGAAGTGGGAGAGCTTTCCCCTTTGGGTGCATTGCAGGGATAGTGTATATGTAGTGCAGTGGGCCTCATCCGGAATAAGTAGCCTCAGTATATACAATCATGAGTTTCAGACGGCTGTTTTTATATGGTTTCTTCTTAGCATGCGCTAAAAGCATAAACTACTGAGTCACTAAAAAAGTTAATTAAGTTTTAAAATTGCTTTGAAATTCTCTCAAAAAGTATAAAGACTCATTTTTAATTTTCCAGGTCGTGGATTGTGTTCTCTGTTGCTAGTGAAAAAATCTTTACCGTCTTTGTTCGATTATTTATATTGCATCTTGTGCTAAAAAGAAATTGAAGGGCAAAAGCCGGAGACGAACAGAAAATGTGCAGCAGAATGTTTAATTGGCTATTGTGTGTGGGTGAGGTGGTGTGATCCCTGACATTATAGACAGAAGCTGTGAAGCACATCCGCAGATAATACACACTATCCGTGGCTCCTCAGAAATGATTGTGGCAGAGGGACCAGGAGGGCATTGTTTTGGAGCAGAGGAGCAGGGAAGAGCATGGGTCTAAATGAGAGTCACAAGCAGAAAGCAGCACCACGGAGAGCAGCCCTGGCTGCTAACAAAGGGAAGTTCACACTGTGGAAAGAGAACACATAATAACAGATCAATGTTCCCCCAGCTCTGCCTGCTCATATAGAGCAATCATTTTAGTAAGGCCATCTTCACATGTGAACAGCAGGTTTTTCCAACGCATCTTTTCCACCCTTAATCAAGGCTTAAGTGTGTGTGAGTGTGTGTGTGTGTGTGTGTGTGTGTGTGTGTGTGTGTGGTGATGACTGAAGTGGGTGTTTTATCTATAATGTAAAGGACCATATTTTCAGCACAACCAAATATTATGGATGGTTTTTCAGGAGTCACGATGGCCTAATTAGGTGTGGTATACCTTATGGAGGATAGGATCCATTTTACTCTGAATTTCATCTAAATGTAATTAAGGTTTATTCTTCTTTTCAGGCAAGAGTGCAGCACTGCGTCTGCTCTGTAGCCAGTGACCACTCAGTAGGACTCCTAAGTTTGCGAGAGAAAAAATGCATTATGCTGGCATCTCGTCATCTTTTCCCCATTCAAGTGATTAAGTGGAGGCCTTCTGATGATTACCTAGTAGTGGGATGTTCAGATGGTTCTGTGTACGTCTGGCAGATGGATACTGGTAAGAACAAGTGTTAAGAGATAGATTCGAGTCCTAGCCGGTTTGGCTCAGTGGATAGACTGTGAGCCTGCGGACTGACGGGTCCTGGGTTCAATTGTGGTCAAGGGCACATGCCCAGGTTGTGGGCTCAATCCCCAGCAGGGGGCATGCAGGAGGCAGCTGATCAATGATTCTCTCTCATCATTGATGTTTCAATCTCCCTCTCCCTTCCTCTCTGAAATCAATAAAAATAATATTTTTAAAAAAGAGAGATAGACACGAAAATTAAATGGGTACATTTGATTTCCTAGAAATTAAAAATCTTTTATAAGAGAAAAAAAGCCTTGAAATGTAATAAGATTGCTACTTTTATTTTTGATCACTGTTTTTTCTAAGTGTTGTACTATGCTAAATACTTGTAGTTGGCCAATTTTTAAAGGAATGTAATTGAAGACAATATACACATCAAGACAGACATATAGATAACAGACCCAAAATTCAGTGATCTATATAATTCATGAGGCAAAATGTGAGCAACATGAAGAAATCACTTTTGTCTCAGATTCAGAAACAGTGGAAATAGAGAAAACCCTCTTTTATTTGAACAGCAGAAAAGCAATACAGGGCAGTTAATTGTAGGAGGTGATTGAAATGAAAAGTTTCAAGATCTAGAGAGAACATTTGAAGTTTCAATTCCAAAGATTTTATGTTTAAGGCATAATATAGAGCAAGTAATACTTAGCTTAAAAGTAAAGGCAGTGATCTATCATGTTTAACATAGACTCTTAGTTTTCTCTGGGAAATCTCTAAGTATGTAATTGAATGTGTTTATTAGTTTAGGCTTTAAAAACACATTTTATTCTACTTTTACTCATTTAAGTAATCATGTACCAGTGATTAAAACTTCTTTTTACATCCCTAGTTGTATTGTAGAAATATTGTATAGTATTTCTACTAAATTTTTTCCCTTTATTTCATCTTTTTTGTTTGTTGGTTTTAAATAGTCCTTTTTTGAAATCAGAATATCTATCTATCTATCTATCTATCTATTTATTTATGATATTTCTGCCTGCACTGTGGTGCATTAGGAGTTCTTATATATATTTTTGGAACAGATAGCCATACTGTCAGCAATCCTTTTTTTTTTTTAGAGTTCTTATCTTAACAGATAATATAAAGACAGTCTTGTCAAGAGGAAGCATTCTCAGAGACTGTTTTTGCATTTATCTTTTCCTTTTTTTGTCTAATAGTATAAGAGGTTCATGCCTTTTGTCGAATTTTAAAAGCACAAAAGTATTAGAAAAGATGAACCCAGGTCGCTAAATGTTAACATTGTAACATGTTTTTTTATAGTCTTATTCTGTCCATGTTTTTGTTTTTTGTTTTAATATATTTTTATTGATTTCAGAGCGGAAGGGAGGAGAGAGAGATAGAAACATCAGTGATGAGAGAGAATCATTGAATCATTGATCAGCTGCCTCCTGCACACCCCACACTGGGGATGGATCCCACAACCCCAGGCATGTGCCCTGACCGGGAATCGACCCCCAGCCTCCTGGTTCATAGGTCAACACTCAACCACTGAGCCACACCAGCTTGGCATCTGTCCATTTTTTAAACCAGAATTGCTGTCATACTACATATGCAATTTTGTATGCATAAAAATCTTACTTTTGTGTCCTTTTGGTCACATTGTATGTGTTGTGCAGCATAGTTTTGTGTTTGCTGATTTGGTCCACTCCACCAACTAATTATACAGAGTTTGTCTTGGGCTCTGGAGTCAGAACGCTTGGTTTGAATTTAGAATCGACCACTTACTAGCACTGTGACCTACAGCAAGTCACTGGGCTTTTGTCCCTCAATTTTCTCCATAAAATGAAGATAATAATGGTTCCTATTTTATAAGGTTAATGGGAGAATAAAATGACATAGTTACTTGGTGATTTTCAGACATAATGTAAGTATGTATATATGTGTGTTTGTGTACAAGTAAGTTTCTCTGTGTGTGTACATTCATGTGTGTTATTATACATGGTGCTTAATCTGTTGCTTTGTTGAACTAGGGAATATGACCTTATATTTAGAAATATGTTTTTTTGGGAATTGAAGAATGTTTTTATAGCAATAATGACATTCATAAAATGCTCTTTTAAAATACTATAAATATTAAATTAACAATTATTACATTTTAAATACAAAACTATGATAAACTTGTATAGGACTTTTAAAAATGAAATAAATATGATAAAGGAAGGTAGTATAATTTTCCTGAATTTTTCAGATACATACTTAAATAATGATACTTGAATATTTCAGATACTTTAAATTTTATATTTTTGACAAATGCAACCTTATTGAAAGACAAAGTTACTTTTCCAGTAACTTCCATAGAAGGAAATGACAAATGGCCCCTAACTATAGATATGCTGGAGGATGTTATTCTTATAACCAGTTTAGTATTATTAAGCCCATTTTACTGTAAACCATACATAACACAGAATTCACAATTCTGACCTTCAGGAGGATTTTTGGTAAACTATTAGTCAACATGGCAGTCTTTAATTGAGATAAATATGAAGAAGCAGAATTTATTTTGGATATCAACCATAACAGGGAGTATACATTATTTTCCCCTGCTGTTCAGGCTTTAACTAATGATGTAAAGGTCTCTGGGGAGTTAGTTAAGCACATCCTGAAGGTATTGACATTATTTATTTATTAAATTTATTTATTTATTAAATAAATAAATAATGAAGCTAAATAAGTCAGTTTCAGTCAAAGTTTGATGTATGAAATGTATTTAAACTCCGAGGAGATAGTTTATTCCTCTTAGTGTTCTGGCAATGTATTTTTACAAATGAAGCCATATCACACTAAAACTACACATGCATATTGTACAATTTTCTGTTTGCTATTGAATTGCTTTATAGGAAGGAGTTTGCACCTTAACTTAGACAATAAATGTATAGATGGAGTTAAATGGAAAGTATGGCCCAGTGAAGAAGCGTTGAAGTGGCTTCAAGCTGAAGTAGTACCGGAAGACATTCCATTGGGTGTTAAGAATAAGAGTCAAGAAATTTGCAGATAGAACGAGAAGTTATAAT